GTGACAGGGACAAGCTCCCCTTTTCCCCATATGACTCCCCTGCAGCCAGGCTGGTTCATGGACTGAGGATTGCCTCCCAAGAGCACAGGAGAAAAACACAAGTTGAATTTTACCAAAGTTGCAGTACATCCAGGGTACAGTTTATAACAGGACATTCTAAGCTGTGTACATTGTGAAGAACATAGGTATTGCCATACAGTAACAGATCAATTGTCCATCTAGCCCATTCTTTTTCAGTGATTTATGGCCGAGCATCAGAGAAAGATGTGTTGTTGTGCTTTCATTTAACTACATAATCTATTCCCCGGGGGGGATATTTCTTCTTGAACCTAGCTAGTGACCAGTTTATGCCTTGATTCATTGAGAGCTCTTTGATTTGATAATCTAGTTTATATAGCTGCAGATGCCATTCCTATTTATAAAAATATCTAATCTTTTAAAAGTTTTGTTGCAACAATACTGACAGAGGGTTTCACGGCTTAATTCTACATTATGTGTAGCAGTCATTCCTTTTATCCCTTCTAAACTTGTTGCGCTTTAATTTCATCAAGTACCATTTTGTTCTTGTTTTACGGGACAGAAGTAGGAAATGCTGAACCTGATTCTCCATTGCCCTGAAGCTGTTTGTCATCTACACTAGTGCTCCATGAGGATGACTACACAAGGGTGCAGTACAATAGAAAATCAGGTCTGCTGCCACCACCATGGGAAAATGCAGCTGCTCCCTTGAGGTTTTGTTCACCTTTGAATTATCTTCAAAAGTGAGCAAGGAACTATGTAAATAACATACACTGCCCCCCTACACACACAAATAGGTTGCAAATTTCTGTTTTGCAAAAATGTGATTTGACGCCTCCATTTTAAACCCAGGTTAGTTTAAATAAACATAAGTAAAAGAAGTTTAGAAAAAACAGCTTGAACTTCCAGCCAGTTTGAAGACATAAGCTTACAAGGGAGAAGAAATGTTATGCGTGGTATGGTTAACTTGTGCTGTATTGAAGATGGGAACTCTAATAGGCAAGACTCCAATAGTGCCTCACAGTGAAGGGCTAATTCATTCTTATTCTGTTTAATTGACTTTCAGAACCCATTGCACAGAAAATATTAAAATGATGATAGCCGTGGACTGAAAAAGGCAAACAAAAAGGCGTAAAGAGGATTTTAAAATATAATTCCAGCACGCATTAGAGCCTCTTGAAACAATCTAGAATTAAGTTGTGGATATAAATGCATAATTGTAGGGGTTTTGTATATTTTAATATAGCTATCTGAACATTTCCCTAGAACTCACAGGATAAAGCTTTTTAAAATGCAAATATAAACTATCCAAAGTAAGTGTTAATGAGAGACATTTTGCTTTTATCTGTACTTAATTAACATAATTAGTATGAAATTGTGCAAGGAACTATGTAATCAGTCTAGCTTTCCCTCAAGCTATTCTAAGAATGTATAGTGAGATGATTTTTAAGAGTCCTTTATTTAAAAATAGTTTCTTACATTGGATGAGCAGGAAGCATGGAATGGCAAAATCTAAAGATAACACACCAGTCCTTAAACTAGGGCCCTCAGAGACTATCAGAATACAGCATAATTAGCAAATGTGCTTGCAGCTGCCTCTGCTACTAAGAGATGAGATGAGAGACTGCTTCTCTCACAGATAGTGTGGAGTGCTAACACACACACACAATTCTAATATACTACACTTTCTTATAATACATATGTGCCTTCCACCATATGTAAGTTATACTTCAATTCTGCAGTGGACTCTAGTACCACAGGTGTTTATATTCTTGAGGAATCCCATTAACATTAATGATATCCTGTCCGGCCAGGCTGGTCTGTGTTAGTTGTTCACAGTGCAGGAGTAGGCACCAAAGGGAAACACTTGTAAACATGTTTTGTTTGTCATTTAAATAAAAATGTCTGTAGACGGATTTCATACAGTACTTCTTCGAGTTGGAGACAATACATTCAGTTTCATTCTTTTCTGATTTTCTCGCTCATCTGCACCTCTAGATTCAATGGCATTTGGAATAGAGCTTAACTGTTTTAGCCTGTCATCACACCTTTGGTAATTCAAGCTAAGAGAGCTGCTGCAGGAACAGGTTTTATATATTTATTTTATTTTTATTTTTTAAAAAGTCACCTAGAATTTTTTTCATATGGAATAAAAGGAGTTTAGAGGTAAATAGAAATAAATGAATAAAAAATACCTGCTGGTTGTTACTGCATGAGGCCACCATTTCTGTAATGTAATTTCTCAGCCATTTTGCAGGCGCAGTTCTGGAAATCTGGTGATTTTATGTGACGCGATACCCTTCTGTGTATAGGTGATGAATATACCTTTCCTTATTTGCACACACCATGAAGTAAGTGGGTTGTAACCCACACAGGGTTCAGGACCCTGCACTCCGTGTCCTTGGTGCGCACACACCATCTGACAGATGCAAGCCCTCTGTTGTTTTCCCTGCACAGAAGAGGTGCCCAGGGGAGTGACTGATAAGCAATGCAGAGGTGGCCACTGCCTCCATGGGATTCAGGGCCTGGGTAAAACGTGCTAAATGGCAGAGATGTCTGCAAGCCCAATGCTCAAAACTGCTGTGTGACACATATGTGGAGGCATGAGAGATCTTGTGTGTGGGTGTGTGATGTGCAAGCGTCGGGGGGGTGTTGTGTTGGGGTGGAACTCTGGTGTGCGTGTGGCAAGGGTGTGAGGTGTGTGTGTGTGTCAGTTGCATGTGTAAGTCTGTCCATGTGGGGTGTCAGGGGAGGCAGGGCTACCCTACCATGAGGCAAACTGAGGCGGCCGCCTCAGGTGCCAGACTGGGGGGAGGAGGGTGCCACTAGGACTCAGAGTGTAGAAAATTCTGTCTGCTGCTGGTGCATATGTATTCTCTCTGCTCTAGATGCACAGAGATGGTGGAGTGCTGTGTCGGTGGAAGGAGGACAAGAGACATAACAGGCAGGCAGGAGAAAAGGTGAGAGGGAATAACAGAAAGCAGCAGGAGCTGCAGGGAGAGAGAGGAGGAAGAGCCTCTTATGTCCCTCTCTAGGAACCCCCAGGAGCCTGGACTGATTAACACCAGCTTCTCAGGGAGCTTCCTGTTTCCTGCTGCTTCCCTGAACCCACTTGAGGAGAACAGGCAGTCAACTGAAGTAGTAGGAGCTAGTTAGGCCCTTAAGACACTGATCTCTTCCCTCACTCAGGCCCTGCTACCTGCTTATTTGTACCCCTCAATGAGTGTTGAGAACCACTATAGCTGGCACAGAACAGCAGTCATGAGTGAAAGAAGAAAATGTCCCTCTGGGACAGCATTCAGAAAAAGAAAGCAAGCAAAGGAAGCTTTTCTATCTAAGCAGGAAGGAGCTCTCCTAAGATACATAGACACAAATGTTCACGGTGGAGACTAGAGGCTATGGCTTATGTACTCAAAAACCAAGAATGCTGCATACTGTTTTTGTTGCAAGCTCTTCCAATCTAATGTTCCAGCCACATTGGGTTCTACAGGAACAAAGGACTGGAAAAATCTGGCTAGAAATCTGGCATGCCATGAGGAAGCAGCAAATCACCAGAGAGCATTCCATACGTGGAAAGAGCTTGAGATGAGACTAAGGTTAAAGGCCACCATAGATGATAATCATCAACAGAAGATTGCATCAGAGTCTCTTTACTGGCAAAATGTTCTGAAAAGGCTCATTGCTATTGTGAGAATGCTTGCTACCCAAAACCTAGCACTGCGTGGCACTTGTATTTGCCAAACAATGGAAACTTCCTTAAAATTGTGGAGCTGATGGCTGAGTTTGATGCTGTACTCCAGGAGCATCTAAGAAGAGTCCCCACCCAAGAAATGTACACACACCACTACCTTGGAAAAACTATTCAAAATGAGATCATATAGTTACTGGCAACAAAAGTCAAACAGAAGATTTCAGATCTGAAGTCAGTAAGATATTACTCTGTTATTCTGGACTGCACACCTGACATCAGCCATATGGAACAAATGACTTTAATGGTGCATTTTCTAACAACAACGGAACCTAGTGAAAATGTCCCTGCAATGGTGACTGTCAAAGAGCATTTTCTAGAATGTATTGACATTGATGATACGACAGGAGCTGGTATGACAAATGTGCTTCTTAAAAAGCTGGAAGATACGGGAATTGCAATAGCTGACATGAGAGGTCAGGGCTACGATAATGGTGCCAACATGAGAGGAAAGAACAGAGGAGTGTAGACACGGATCCGAGAGTTAAACCCTCGAGCTTTTTTTGTCCCAGTTCTCATACATTGAACTTGGTGGTCAGTGATGCAGCATCAGCTTCTAGTGAGGCTGCTGAATTTTTTAATGTAATTTAAAGCATGTGTGTATTTTTCTCTGCATCATCTCATCGATGGCAAATTTTGAAGCAATATCTGGGAACATCCTCTCTGACCCTGAAACCACTGAATGCCACACGATGGGAAAGTCGAGTGGAGGTGATAAAGCCTATCAAACACCAAATTGGGAAGAAAGATGATGCCATAGTTGGCATTATGGAGAATAACGCTATGACAGGAACTGTTCGTAGGAGAACAGTGGCAGAGGGAAATAGAATCACCAGAAACATACATAACTTCAAATTTCTGTGTGGCTTAGTGTTGTGGCATGACATACTGTTTGAAATAAATGTTGTAAGCAAGAGACTCCAAAGTGTTGACCTTGATATATCTGGAGCAATGGAACAACTGGACAAAGCAAAGTCATACCTACAGTCTTACCGGTCAGATGAGGGATTTCAAAACGTTCTGAAGAGTGCACAGAAGTTAGCAGAGGAACTTCACACTGAAGCTATTTTCCCACCCATTTAAGAATACAAGAGTCACCAAAGAAGAAGACATTTTGATTACGAGAAATGGGATAATCCCAGAAGAGACCCCAAATAACAATTCAAAGTTGAATTCTTTAACCAGCTGCTAGATTGTGCAATACAGTCAGTTGAAGAACGTTTCATGCAGCTCAAGGAACACAGCAGTCTATTTGGGATGTTGTAGGATACTCCAAAACTCCTCACTATACCTGAAGAGGACCTACACCAGCAATGCAGGGCACTAGAGACCGTGTTAACACATGATGGCATGCGTGACATTGATGCGAGTGATTTAGGTGATGAACTGATACATTTCAGCAGGATCAACTCCAAAGGCTGTTCTGGAATACATGTGCACAAATAAGATGACCCCCTTCTTTCCAAATGCTTGTTGCTCTGCGCATACTTCTAACACTTCCTGTAACAGTTGCTAGTGGAGAATGCAGCTTCTCCAAGCTGAAGTTAATAAAAACACATCTACGCTCCACAATGACACAGGAGAGGCTGGTCGGCCTTGCCCTTGCCACCACAACAGAGCATGAGCTGGTCCAGACGGTGCCCCTTCAGGAAGCAGATCAAATCTCTGCAACCAGGACGGCCCGGAAAGCACCACTTTGATCATGCAAACAGACAGACATGCCAGTGTCTGCAATGCAGGCAAGGCCAGTCACATTGGCCGGGCAGGCGTTTGCCCGTTCCGTGTCACTGAACATGTCTGAGCAAGGCACTTTCCGTTGTTTGTTCCTCGGAGACCTTCCAACGCTTAGGCCCAAGCGAGGGGGCCTCGGATGAGCGCCCGCCTCAGGTGCCAAAATGGAGTCGGGCGGCGCTGGGGGCAAGTCTCGGGGGCGGGGCTTGCACCTTTACCGCCGGGGCAGCCTTGGGTCCCTGCTAACGTTAGGCGCGCGCGCGGCTAACGGCTCTGCCGGCGGGGCGGGGCGGGGCGCGCGCTCTGCCAGGCTGCCCCGCCCCCGCCCTGGGCGGCTCTCCCCGCCACACGCGGGGGGGTGCTTCCCGCCTCGTTGTGAGGCGCTGGGGGCGGGGCTAGGCAGACTCACAGGGCGCCGCTCTCCGCCCGCTCCAAGAAGGGAGCGTTGCCGTCACCCTCACGCCCAGCAACCCCTGCGGCACCAGCGCGTGCGACAGGGAGCCGCGGGATCACCGCGCGCGCGCGCGCGCCCTTATCCGGCACGCGCACGCACGCACTCGTCCGCCTCCACGTTCCCATAATTCTGCGCGGGGGGTGGGCTCTCTTTTTCGCGTTATTTCCGAGTCCTTCCGGTTTCGCCGAGATGGTGCCCCCGGTGCAGGTGTCGCCGCTCATCAAGGTAACGGGGCTGGGGGCGTTGTCCGGGGCTCGAGCCGGCTGCCCCGGCCCCGCCAGCCCCCTGGGGCGGAGCCGACCCGGGCGCGGGCCGGGCGGGGGAAGGTGACCCCGGGGGAGGTCAGAGCTGGGCGTGGCGGGGATCGGCCCATCCCCCGCTGCCCTAGCTCGTGTCTCTGACCCGGCTGCGGGCTCGGGGCCGGGGTGCAGGAAACCCTCCCGAGCGGCGCTGCAAGGGGGGGGCAGCCCGGGGCTGGTGCTTGTTCCTCCGCCCGGTGGTGGGGGGTGCCTGGGATCTAAGCCCAAGCCCAGGTACCATCCAGCTTGTTCCGCTGTCCTGCAGCCTGAAAACCAGCCTCCCTCTGTATGCAAAGTAAAGTATTTCCTGCCTTCCTTCCTTCCGCAGTTCACCCGGTACTCGGCGCTGCTGGTTGGGATGCTGTATGGGAAGAAGCGATATGGTAAGTGCCGAAACTGCCTTTATGGCGGCAGGAGAAACTATTAAATTGAAAACCAGCAAAGAGTCCTGTGGCACCGTATAGACTAACAGACGTATAGGAGCATGAGCTCTCGTGGGCGAGTACCCACTTCTTTTTGATGCATCCGAAGAAGTGGGTACTCACCCACGAAAGCTCATGCTCCTATACGTCTGTTAGTCTATAAGGTGCCACAGGACTCTTTGCTGCTTTTACAGATCCAGACTAACACGGCTACCTCTTTGATATTAAATTTAACTCACTGGCCACTAATATCTAAGACCCTGTTCTAGTCTGGTGCCCTGTGGTGTATAGGTCAGGCTAGATGATGTGCTAGTCCCTTCTGGCCTTAAACTCTGTGACTGTCTGTTTTGACCGATCAGTTCCTACTGTAATGAGCAGAATAAGACATCGGTCTGTGTTCATTTCTTTGCAGCGTTGATCCCAGATGAGAGAGACAAGGTCGGTGAGAGAATATATTTTATTGGGCAAACTTCTGTTGGTGAAATAGACAAGCTTTTGAGCTACCCAGCGCTCTTTTTCAGTGACCTGAAGTTGGTCCAATAAAGAGATTACTCCATCCACCTTTTCTTTTCGTCTTGAATGTAAAAACAGTTTATTACCATTATTTTTGTTACAAAATAAACTTTGAAATGATGTAAATTATCAGTCGGTCGTTTATTAGTCTTTATTGATGCTGGCGTGTTTGGCTTAATGTTTGCTAAATCCAGTCAATAGAAAAAGGATTAGGTATAATTAAATATTGGTGATTTGTCTACTTAGTTTGATGTCTTGAATAGTAAAGTGATCACACATGAGGATATATAAAAAATTAAGCTTTTAATTATATATTTTGTGTGGCACCTTGAAATTGATCAGCATGTTGTCTGGCATGTATATAAAGTTCTTGTTAGTGTTAAATTTAGGGTCCAAGGTTTGTGTTATTTGAACACAGACATCTAAGGTATGCACTGTCATGGTACTCTATGCTGATTTGAGTTTGTGATGTGTACTACTGAAGAATGACCTGTCTGAAGGTCAGACAGTAGTTCAAGTCTTTGAGGGTCATATCAGTCTGCCTTGACTAAAAGCAGGAATAAGGATTTGTCTATCCACTGATTTAACTAAATGGGTTTTAAAAAAAAAAACCCCTAATGATGTGAAATCTGTACAATCGCCTGGGATGGGCACAGTTACCCTGGTATGAATGTGTGTGTATTGGTATAGCTTGTTTTGGTAAAAACATCTTTGTATTATCATAGCGCTTAGTAAGAAGGTCCAATGGCTGGAAGTTGAAGCTAGACAATCCCAGAATAAAAGATGGCTCCGGCTCCTGGGAGCTTACGATTTAAGTATAAAACACTCAACAGCAGATGAATATACACACAGGCAGGGGAGTAGGAGGAAACAATGAGACAGTATTGGCCAGCTTGATGGGCATCAGTTTGAGCACAGCAAGCTTCTTGTAGACATGGCAAAGAAGAGCCTGAAGGAGGAATATGAGGTAGCTTTGAAGTTTATTTTTCAGGAAGCTTCTCCCAAGGGCAGTAAAGGAGAATAGCACAAAGGTGCTTGTTTGAAAATCTAACTGGTGAGGGAGGCTGTTATCACTGGCCAATCAGAGATTGGCATTTGAGTAACCTGTGCAAAGCTGTGTGCAATAGGGGATTGAACCACTCTGACTAAATCAGTTTTTTATCTTAATTAAGTCACTGTTTCACAAAAAGAAAGGGAAAATGGAAGAGAATAAGTCGTCAACAGCACTGTTGAGGGTTTGTGTGCCCTAAGTCAGCAGTTCTCAAACTGTTCTCAAACCCTTTTTAATGGGCTTGCCAGGGCTGGAATTAGACTTGCTGGGGCCCTAGGCCAAAGCCCGAGCTGGAGGGCTTCAGCCTGGGCAGCAGGGCTCAGGTTACAGCCCCCCACCCCGGGCTGAAGCCCTTTGCCCCGGCCCTTTCCCCCCCCCCCCTTTTTTTTTTTTTTTGTAAATAAAGAGACTCTGTCAAGTGGCTTAGATGAAAATGTTTTCATATATGGCTTTTCATTGAAATGTCTTTATTAAAACTAACACCAGCATGGTAGAAAATACAGACATCATTGTGGTAGTGCATGATTACCAGAAAAAAAACCTCTTAATATAGTTGTCCAAGCTGAAACACAATGCAGACACTGTATAGT